ACAAAAGCCAAAATAGGCAAATGGGACCTAATCAAACTTCACAGCTTCTGCACAGCAAAAGAAACAGTCATTAGAGTGAATCGGCAACCAACAGAATGGGAAAAAATTTTTGCAGTTTACTCACCTGACAAAGGGCTGATATCCAGAATTTACAAAGAACTAAAACAGATTTACTAGAAAAAAAAGAAACAAGCCCATTCAAAAGTGGGCAAAGGATATGAACAGATACTTTACAAAGGAAGACTTACATGAGGCCAACAAACATATGAAAAAATGCTCATCATCACCGTTCATCAGAGAAATGCAAATCAAAACTACATTGAGATACCATCTCACGCCAGTTAGAATGGCAATCATTAAAAAAACCTAGAGACAACAGATGCTGGAGAGGATGCGGAGAAATAGGAACACTTTTACACTGTTGGTAGGAGTGTAAATTAGTTCCACCATTGTGGAAGACAGTGTGGTGCTTCCTCAAGGACCTAGAAATAGAAATTCCATTTGACCCAGCAATACCATTACTGGGTATATATCCAAAGGATTACAAATCATTCTATTATAAAGACACGTGCACACAAATGTTCACTGCAGCACTGTTTACAATAGCAAAGACCTGGAACCAACCCAAATGCCCATCGATGATAGACTGGACAGGGAAAATGTGGCATATATACACCATGGACTATTATGCAGCCATCAAAAACGATGAGTTTGTGTCCTTTGTAGGAACATGGATGAACCTGGAAAACATCATTCTCAGCAAACTGACACAAGAGCAGAAGATCCCAAACACCGCATGTTCTCACTCATAGGCAGGTGTTGAACAATGAGAACACATGGACACAGGGAGGGGAGCACTACACACTGGAGTCTGTTGGGGGGAAACAGGGGAGGGTCAGTGGGGGGTTGGGAGTTGGGGCGAGATAGCATGGGGAGAAATGCCAGATATAGGTGATGGGGAGGAAGGCAGCAAATCACACTGCCACGTGTGTACCTATGCAACAATCTTGCATGTTCTTCACATGTACCCCAAACCTAAAATGCAATAAAATAAATTTAAAAATAATAAGTAATTCAGTGATGCCAGTCATTATCTATATGCCTTTATTCTGTTGAACAACTTCCTTAGGATCATGCTCTGTAAGTAGGATTGTTGCTCAGAGAGTGGAAACATCTTTAGACTCACTTTTTACTGATCATTAACCCTCTGAAAGATGTCGTAATTTACAATGCTACCAACAGAATTCATAAAATCATGTCTTATAGTTTCACCATTACAAGGTATTAGAAGTTTCTTTCTACTTTAAAAGATGTATACAGTGGCATTTCAATAGTTTTACTTGCATTTTTATTATTTTTAGTTTTTTTATTTTAATTTTTAAAATTTAATTTAATGTAATTTTTTTTTTTTTTT